AGTACCCGGAGGAAACCTACGCAGACGCGGGGAGAACATGCAAACTCCACTCAGAAAGGCCCTGGTCCAACCGGGATTCGAACCCAGGACCTTACGCATGTGTGTTCTTTATACTAATTAACTATGGTTAGTAAATAGACAATCATTGTGTTACGACTGCTCAAAAGAGTAGCTCTCCACCATTTCTGTTTTTATAAAAGAAGCTCTCTGATATATAGGTTTCATCATTTAGGTTGAAACGCAGAAATAAATGTACCTTCAAGTAACCTCCCAATGTTCTGAGCTGTAACCTGTAGTAATCCAAGTGAGATTAAGGGATACTGTTCTGTCCCTGTAGAGAAGCATGTCCTCTATCTGACTTTAACTTTCCAAATATGAAAACATTCCCATCATTATAATTCATATTAATAATAACATGCCCTGCAGCAGCTTCGTGTTAGTCTCGCCGAGGCATTTCTTTACACCATATGACCTTCAAGTCTTTTTGTGCCACTTCTTGTATTCCAACATCTTCACAACAGCAACTCGGCTATAATTTGATCATACAATTTGTTAAATGCTGTTATTTGAAACACACATTCAGTTTTCAGAACATTAACTCACCTCACACGCGGAAACATATGAGGTATTGACATTGTCGGACTCATTTCAGGCCTACTCACATTCCTAAGTACGACCATTTAGCGCTGGTTTACACGGAGAAGCTATTTTGAACATTACATTTCAACTGCCTTTGAATATACAGGGATGATATTATTTGATCACATTTGATAAACATCAGGCAGGAGTCCCATCCAATGACTGTAATGAACGTCTACAACTATTTGACTTTCTACGGCTCGTTTTTTGTATCCACTTTGTTGGACTTTCAAGCTTTGGCAAACTCAATTTCACACAATCAATCAGCCCGATGCCGGTTGAGACGCCCGGGGAATGAATTAGTTATCATTCAGACAAAATGGGAAATTCCATTCAAAGAAACGGATATAAGAAGTCCATTAAAGCGCTGTTGGCTCCGCCTTTTATTGTCCGCGCTTTTCCTTCCCTTTCTTTTCCTTCCAAACCAAACATCAAAAAGTTTGTATGGGGGAGTTCTTTTTATAAAGCTATAGCTGCAGTTCCCCCCATGTGTACCTATTAAAGAGAACTTGAACACATATATTATTGAAGTAATAGTGATTGAAAACCTTTTTTTTTTTCATGATAAGAACGCTTGAAGTCTGAGTCCAATTCTGTTGTAGTAGCAAACAGTAATTAAAGCTGGAATATGTACCTTATCTACAGTATCACATAGAATCAGTGTTTGTCACAACAGCATGAGTCTTGTAGCATCAAATCTACAAACATGCTTTCTCTTGTATACTTAGAAGATCAAGGTCAATGTTTATCTAGCACATTTATAAACTGTACTTGTAATTCAAGTGCAATTCAATTCCATTCACTCTATTCTGGTATAACCCTGAATCAACAACAGGAGTTATCTCAGGGGATTTTTACAAAGCTGTCGATTCGCCAACACAGATCAGAGAATCAAACAGTTCAAAAACCAGAAATGCAATGATAAAAACCACAGACAGTAGAGCCTTTGGTCCATAAGGGACGGATGGCCAATTTCCCATGTCCATGTATGTTAACAAATGTCCATAAATGATGTCGTATCAATCAATCAATCAATCTTTATTTATAGGGCGCTTTTCCTGCACAGGGCAACACAAAGCGCCTCACAGTCCACACCACACAATGCACAAATCATCACCATTAAAATACAATTAAAAACACATATGTAATTAAAAAGCATTAAAATCACATAAGTAATTTAAAAAAATAAGAATCACACAAGTAATTAAAAACAATAAAATAGTTAAAAACACAAAAAGTTACAACAATAAATAACAAGGTGTGTTAAAAAGATAAAATTCTCTAGTTGTATGCACAGGAAAAAAGAAAAGTCTTTAACATGGATTTGAACATTGACAGAGAGGCAGCCAGTCTCACATCCTCAGGAAGACTGTTCCAGACTTTAGCTGTCGTACAAAATTTTTTGTCACCTTATCTTGGATTTTTACTCAAAAATGAGTTCTGGAGTCCAGACTAAGCTGTAAAAGCTACTTTTACAATTTTTTCTCAACTTATCTGTTGTGTTTTTATTGTTATTTCTCTAAATTTGATGTATATTTTTGTGTAGATGCCAAGTCTCTCTCTTTTTAACTGCAAAAAGAATCTGCTCATGGGTACAAATAAAGTCACCTTGAACCTTTTGCCTATAAATGTCAGTGAATGTCGAGTGTCCTGGATCATTACCACTGTCCTTAGACCTTCCTATCCATCAGCAAGGAACAACTCTAAAAACCCAGTGGCAGGTGTTTTATTATAAATTCACCGCCTCATCTCATTTATAATTCAATCAAAAACCTGTCCATCTTTGGCACCGGATCACTGTGGCATCTTTCTATCTATCTATAAAACATATTGCACACCAACAACCACCACTACTACCACTACTTTTTTGACATACATTGATTTGGTTTGATGAGCTGAGACCTCCATATCGTGAAAACAAAGCGATGGTGGAGAGAGCAGTACGTTTGCCTCTGTGTTGTGTAATACCTCTGTCCTTGGAAAATAACCTTCCTCCAGGGGAAGAGTGCACAGTGTGTGGGATTGTGTCAATAGTTTGTCTTCACATGATATTGATTGGAGAGAGATTTTCTACCAAGTGATGTCCAAGTTGTTATTGCGGACTCCAAAGCAGTAAATGATATCCTGAAGGGTCAAAAGGGAAATGCGGTATATTCTCGAGACAAGATGATGCCGTTTGGAGAATAGGTTTTATATATTGATCAAGAAAATGTATCTTTGAATTTCAATTTATTTCTGTGTGTGGCCTAAACAGTTATCTACAAGAACAGATCAGAGAATAAAACGGTTCAAACTTAGGAAATGCATTGATGACAAAGACGTAGAGCCATTGGTCCAAAAGCGGCGGAGATGACCAATGTCCATAAATGTCATTGAGTGTCCTGGACCATCACCACTGTCCTTAGACCCTCCTGGAACCTCGGGTATGGGTCCTGGATCCGGGTGTGTAGATCCAGGTCTTAAGTAGTGCGGGACAGGACATTCAACGACATCTATGGACATTTATCAACACTTCTGGACATTGGTCATCTGCCCCGTATGGACCAATACCAATGTGTTTTCTGTTTTATTTCTTGTGTTTGAACGGTTTGATTATCTGCTCTCTGTTGGCGAATTCAACAGTTGTGTGAAGTCTTCCAAAGATAACTACTGTTGTGATTTAGGGATGTACAAGAATAAATAGAATAGAATTGAATTAAACAGATCAAGCGCTGACCTTCTAGAAACTAGTCCAACCCCTTTGATGTGCGTGCTCCGGAGCCTACGCACTCCCGGTCCAGAGAGGGAGAGAGGAAAGGTGAAGCAGTAGGGCAGTGTCTCCCAAAGTGGGGTCCGCGGCCCCCTGGTGGGCCGCGAGGGTACTGCAGGGGGGCCGCGGGAGGTCATAAAAAAAATAAAAAAAATAATATAATTATTTAATGTTAAATTTATAATGTTTTGTTTGTAATATTAAAATATTTGTGTTCATTATTTGACTTGAATGATCCACTGTAATCATTTTTGTATTACAATGTTTGTAGCAGAGGCTATTTCCCCAAAATAAAATAACCAGAAGAGCCTATTCTTAATGTTGTCTTCTTGGTTATTATTTTGGGGGGCCACGCAGACCCGTCAGATTTTTAAGGGGGCCTCGGTGTTACTGAGTTTGGGAATGGCTGCAGTAGGGAATGACAGAGCCGTTATGGGGTCATGATGTTGGTGACAGTAATGACGACAGATGCAAAACCTGCTTCTGCAACGTGCATGTTTAAGTGTCTCTTTATAGAGCAGTAAACAATGAACAGGTCGCTAAAGAGTTGATGGTTATTGGGAAACGAAATGTGTTTTGACTAAATGCTACAGACATAACTGTTGGGTTTAAGTTTGTCACATTAGATCATACAGCCCCAGAAGTCTCATCAGCTCTACTGCCAGATCTTGACGTTCCAATTCCACTTACTGTAACTTATGTTTGCATCGCCCTAAATCACAACATTAGCTATAACTGGGGAAGTTGTCGATTTGCCGTTACATATCAGAGAATAGATCAGTTCATTTAGTCTTATTTCAAGAGCTGTTGTTTTGTTTTCTCATTCCAAGGGACACCATTCTTCTATATTTTCAAAACTAGATAATATTTCTTGTCCCATTGGCAAATTTTGTTTAAAGGTACATTGTGTAGTTTTTGCTCCCATCTGGCAGTGAGATCATACTGTATATTGTGATCTACGGTACTACGGTAGCTTCGCAGGACAATATGTGGTCTTTGACAGTGGTCCCCAACTCCCGCTCAAACTCCTTTTTGTCCCTTATCAACCACTGTATTTTAAGATGGTGCATTAATGCGGAGAGTCTTCCAGCTCACATGGACATGTATAAATCAAATTCTAAGCCTATGACAACAATTCAAAAACATGGTGGAGGTAAATATTCTTAAAAAGGTCACATTTGTTATTGGTTAACATGTTTTGTTTCATTTGGAGCAACTGTGAAAATTACACAGAGTACCTTTGAGGCAGTCAAAATGTAGTCAAATGAATGCACATTTTGCCAAATTTGAGCAACTATTTACTAATTTCTAATAACTTTTTTGCAGTACACATATATCGGGGATCCAGTGCTCGGCGAGGCAGTGAGATAAACCAATTATTATTACCTTTTTAACTGGTAAAAACAGATAACATCTCTTTTGGGGATAATATTTCACATTCTAAAAACATGACATGACAAAACAAATAGTCTCATTTTCATTTTGAACAGCCAACGATAACGCAATCATAATTTCAACTCTTTCTTTTCAGCAACTCCTCACATATTCCCGTGTGTCTCTCAGACTGCTGCCTGCTTCTCTTTGCGATAGTGAAGTGTACATGTGTTGGCAGGAAAGCGGTGAAGGCCACGCTGGTGCTGCTGCCTCTCCTGGGCATCACCTACATGCTGTTCTTCGTCAATCCGGGGGAGGACGACATATCTCAGATCGTCTTCATCTACTTCAACTCCTTCCTCCAGTCTTTTCAGGTGAGCCGGGTCTTTTTATAAACCTCCCTTTGTGACGTCTCAGCCCTGGCTCCCACACTCGCCTTTTTCAACACACAATAAGGATAAGGGCAGTGTCTGTTCTTACTTTTCAGACACATTAAGGGATTTTTTATGTTTATCTTTTTTTTTAATGTATTGTGATTATTTATGATTTGAATGCCTTGTGTGACTTTGAGTTGCCTTGTGTTTAAATTATGCTACACAAATATTAAAGGAGCTATACCCGTTTCTGCAAGGTTTGAATGCTTGACACCGCCCCCCAACTCTCTCACAGGCTTCTCATTTCCCTACGCTCTCATCCCACGGAGCCATCTAGTTTTATTTGCGATCCAAACGCAAACATTAGCATGAGCGCGACTTAAGCTGTACAAGAATCACTGATGAAATGGTACAAAACACACTGCTAATAAAATATATAACTGAAAGATTACCGCTAGTTCCGCGTCCAAATGTAGTCCGAGCATAGATAGTCCGAGCATAGATAGTCCGAGCATAGATAGTCCGAGCATAGATAGTCCGAGGCGGTCCCGCAGGTCTCTCCCATAGACAAGTCTCTCCAGAGGATACGATGTAAGCTAGCTATGTTCACCCGGGCTTGGTTTCTTCTTTGATCATTTTTTCGCTTTAGTCCCCTCTTCTCTTCCTCAAGTTTTCAATTAAAATAAGCATTTCAATACAACTTGTATGTCGTAATAAGCGTTTTTATGAACTCTTTAGAAAAAAAAAAAAATCGAGTATAGCAACTTTATAATGCTGATTTTAAACTATAGTCGAACCTGGACAAAATTGCGCACACAAATGGACATAGTTCAGGCATTCTTTTTACTTGGTTGCCATTTCCAAAGAGAAATGTCCTCACGGAGACAGAGAGCAGCAAGCAAATAGGAATGGAAGAGCAAACAGAACAAAGGAACAATGAGACAAGACCTTCCTTATTAACATGTAAAGTAGCCCACCTGTCTATATGTAAATAGTACAAGGCCCTTGGCAAAATGGGTTCACATACAAACCCCCTTCGTCCAGACATTCTGGTGCAAAAGGTGATTTAAAATACAACTACCCAAAAACTTTTAGCCACATATGATTCAATAAAATGATAACTTAATCAGCATTCTAATGTCAACAACAAAACGTGCCTTGCCAATGTAACAATTGATAAAAAAGGAAGATATGAGGAGCCATATATAAATCTTCGCTGCAAAAAGTTTTGAAAAATTAGTCAAAAATTGCTAAAATGTAACAATATCTATCTGTAAAAGTAAATGTAAGATTTGCGAACATACAAAAATGCAAACATACAAAAATGTCTTGTTATTAAATGTAAGAAATGTCTCCTTTCTCGTCTCTGGGGCCAAAATTCACAATGAAAACCAACCACTCGATGAATGCATTTATTAACTTTTATTCAATGAAATATTTTTGTCCCTCATTTTGAACGAACCAAAACAATCCATGAAATGTTAAATATTTGCACCTGCCTCTTCTTATAGACACGTACAGTAGGTCGTAGGTAGGTGTCCACACGTTGCCATGACGCTAATGAGCCCTCAAAGGAACAACGATCGCAGAACATGATGTGATGTCGATATGTGGATTTTCTGTCATCACTGTGTTATTTATCAACATCTACAAAACTTTTAAAGGTTAAAGGTAAAATCAAACATACAAGTAAGCAGTAGAGAAAAAACATGTGTGTTCACCGTTTTTTACGCTGCAGTTGAACATCTCAGTATTACTTCCATCAATTTGTATTTGCAAAACTGTGCAAAGCATTTATTTAATTTAAACTTTTTTAGTGTTTAGTGGTGATTTAAATGTACTGTATGGTCATTCAAAGCCTACTGTATATATAAAGCAAGGACTACTTCATGTAAACTGCTTTCAGAATTCACATTTCAAGCATTATGGATTCCAAGGGGACACATCTACAGGCACATTTTGCTTAACTGCAACAACTAGCATGCTAACAGAGCGCTAATCTCTGTCTTTTCAATATTGTAAATTGAATGTCTAGATTTCAGTAATTGCTTTTTTATACTTGCGTACATAGACTAGTGTTGGCAGTTTGGAGAATGGGGTGACTACGGTTTGTAACATACACTGTTTCCAATTGGTTCGGTGTTGAATGTGAGGTTTGACAGTGAAGGAAGAGAGTTTGCACGGGTACATGGCCTCCATGAAGCGAGGGGTAAACCAGTTTGTGCTGTTGGGCCCCTGGCTGAACACCAACTGGGTAAACCAGGGCCATGAACCTGTCATGGTGGCGCCGGGCAGCAGTGGAGGTGTGAATGTGGATAAGGAACACATTGAGTGTGTGATTGGAACTTATTCCTGTAATCAACCACCCTCCAAGGAGAACATGGTTTACAGCCACAGACAGATAGATGTGTATGTACTGTATGTGTGTGTGTGGGTTTGTGTGTGCGTGTTAAAAAACAATTTATTCTTTTAAAGCCCTAAAGCACAACAGTAGTTACAAAACTGTTGAATTCACCAACACAGATCAGTGAATCCAACAGTTCAAACACTAGAGAGCTAATGATAGAAAACACATTGGTGTTGGTCCAAAAGGGGCAGTCGACCAATTTCCATAAATGTTGTTGAATATTTAGTGTCCTGGATCAAACTACTGATGATCATCTAGTTCAGGGTGGCTCAGGGTACAGTCTCACATTTTCAGGAAGATATTTTGGCAGTATAAATCTGAAATCCTATCATCTCATATTTAGACTTGATTCTGGGCTGATATTGGAGAAGGCCTCAGTCTAAGCATGTCCATAGAGCACTAACATGTAACAGATCATACGTTGGTGCGAGACCCCAGAGAAAAGAATAGCTCTCGAGGTCACACAAAGTACTTTTGCAATCACCAGAATGTTGGTAGTGATTGTTTGATTGTAGAACTAAGGAGCAGAGATTGTTTTTGTGTTTCTGACATTTCTTCCATGTTGATTTTGCGTCAAACCTTCTTTTGTAGTTTAAATGGAAGTGCAACTGGGATCACTTTTTACAACCTTTATCTCCAAGAAAAAGGCTTTCATATGTGTCATGTACCGCAATCTCCTGTGGGGGAAGCAGGCGGCGACAAGACGCACTAATCCTAATGTGCCTCTCTCCACAGGGTTTCTTCGTCTCGGTTTTTTACTGCTTTCTAAATGGAGAGGTGAGTCACTGCTTTCCTGTAACTTTAGTATGGAGTGTTAATTCTGTGACGAATTGAATAAATGTCTCGCTGTAGGAGGCGGGTTAGAAAAAAGGGCTTTTTGAAACATATGACGGATAAAAAAGAGGTTTGCATGAAGGAGGTTATTTAAAAAAAAAACAAAGCTTTGGTTCAAAATGGTAAAAAGCAGGTGAGGCGAAAGACACCTTATTTTATTTTATTTTATTTTATCTTAAATTTATTGTCTATTATCTTAAATAATAGACTTTGATGTGTGCAATCTGAGTGCTCTTATTTCCTTTCTCTGCTGTAATGTGCAACAATGACACTGAAATTTCTCCACTGTGAGACTAATAAAGGTTTATCTTAGCTTATCTTATCTAAATAGGAGATTCATCAAGACTTCATTATTTATTTCGAGACCACACTAAACAATATAATATAATTATTATTGTTGGCTCTTTCTCGGTGGTGGTGCATGGCCGTTCTTAGTTGGTGGAGTGATTTGTCTGGTAAATTTCGAGAACTGGCCGGTGTCCAACTTCTTAAAGAGACAAGTTGTTCCGCCACATGAGATTGAGCCATAACAGGTCTGTGACGGCCTTAGATGTCCGGTTTCTACACTTGAGTGGATCAGTGTATGCCTACCCTCAGCTGAGAGACCTGGGTCACCAGCTGAACCCCACTCATGAAAAGGATTGCAAGTATTTCTCCATGATTAGAGAATTTCCAAGAGACCCTTTTTACTCAGTTTGTCGCTACTACCGCTAGGATGATTTAATGAGAATCTCAGATCGACCTGAGAAGACGATCAAATGAATATGTAAAGGTGGGCTGAGGCCAAGCCTTTTCATGTTTTGCCATTTTCCTGATGAGATGGAGAGCAGGTGCATCTCCACATTCCCCCAATCTCACCTCCTCTGGGTCTCCCCTCTTCTGGGTCTCCCCTCTTCTGGGTCTCCCCTCTTCTGGGTCTCCCCTCTTCTGGGTCTCCCCTCCTCTGGGTCTCACCTCCTCTGGGTCTCACCTCCTCTGGGTCTCACCTCCTCTGAGCCCGGCCTGAGGAAGAGCTGCTATACACTGTTTTTAGGGTCTTTCATTCAAATGCTGTTTCCAGATCCTCAGTTGTTTCAGTGTAAGTCTGAATCGAGGCCGCACAGCACTCTGTTTGTGGAGGTCGTCCAGTTTCACTGTAATTTAGATAAATATGGGTCAATGGGTTTGAGGGGAGAGGTCAGCTCAGAACTTGCAAATGATGGTGATGTACTCTGAACACCACAGAAAGAAGCTTCTAATAGGAGACAGAACAGTATTGTAGGGATAAATACCATTATTAACCAAAGTGCAGGCGATTGCCATTAGAGAAGAGTGTGAAGAAGAGGAAGAAGGTCTGTCTCACACAGCCATAAGGAGACATGAATGTGAGGCAAAGATTGAATGCAAGGTTAATAACGATTATTGGCATCCATTAAAACTTGATTTTTGATGAACTACTAACCACATTTTTTTTTTCACTTTTTAAATGATACACAAATACAAAGCATTTGAGTCCATAGAATGCGTGGGGACTGGGCTGGAAATGCAGCTTAGAATCAAAGTTCATCATACCATACTAACAATAACAGAGACGATTGAGCCGTAACTGAATGCTTGTGTGCAGGTGCGGTCTGCGGTGCGGAAGCGCTGGCATCGGTGGCAGGATAACCACGCTTTGAGAGTGCGTGTGGCGAGGGCCATGTCCATCCCTACCTCCCCCACTCGCATCAGCTTCCACAGCATCAAACAGACCACGGCCGTCTGACCACATGTGTCACAGAGACTCCTCATCCCACGCTGGGACTGGTCAACTCTGAACTACAAACAAACACTTTTTTTTACAAGAACTTCAAAAGGATATTATATTATATTCAAGAAACTTTCGTCAAAGACACAATGGATTCTATAGTAGAACGATGTGTTGTCTGCATGAATTAAACTTACTGGAATTCTCATTAAGTAAGTAAGTCATCTTTATTTATACAGCGCATTTTGCAGACCAAGGTCAGAGTTCAGATATTTTTTCATTCTCTTCACACACAAAAATGACAGAAGCAAGTCGCCGAACACACTGGTGCATAAAAGTCCCTATCAACACCATCTATTCACTCACTCATTACATTCCGACCTAGCCTGGTTTTACCATACCCTCGTACTTGTCCTGGGAAAAAAAGATTTGACCGGAGTTTACGGATGGCAAAGGCCAGGCTAATTCCGACCTACTGTGCATGATTTTAGTGGTCGGCGAAACCCTGAGCACCCGGAGGAAACCTACGCAGACACGGGGAGAACATGTAAACTCAACTCAGAACCCAGGACCTTCTTGCTGAGAGCTAACCACTCAGCCACTGTGCCGCCCTATTCTATTCTAGATTAGGACATTTTGATTGTTTGTTTTTAACACGTTTTCGGCACCATCTGTATGTGAACGCCTGATCCCAGCAAACTTCAGAAGCTAAGCAGGGCAGGGCTGGGATAGTACTGTAATGGGAGACCTCTGGGAACAGCAGGTACCACAGTGGAGCGGCTGCAGCTGGCAGGAGCCAAACTGTTGCGGTGTCTTTTGGCAAGACATGTCACCCACATGGCCCAGTAGGAGTCTGGTGTGTACGTGAATGTCTGGTGGGTTCGAAGAGGTCAACGGCACGTGCTGGTTGCCTCGCTCCTGTCAGTTCGCTCACACGCCATGTGAATTCATTCCACAACAGACAGCTCCTCCCCCACTCCCTGCACTCGCACCCTAGAACATCTTTTAGCAACGTTAAGACAAACACTAACCCTAACACATAAGAGCCATTGGTCCATAGGGAAAGGTACATATAATGTCCTGGATCATCACCACTGTCCTTAGAGCCTCCTGCATCAGCAAGGAACACATAAAAAACCCAATGGGAGAAAGTGACAAACTTTGGCGAGGCTCACAATTTGAAATAAGTCCAAAATTGGCAAAAAGTATCTTAATTTGAGCACAACAAGATTTGCCAATGGGATAATGAGCAAAAATATATTGTTTTAAAAAGAATGTCTCCCTTGGAATGAGAAAATAAAGCAACAGTTCTTGATATAAGACTAAACGGCTTTGTCCCATTGGAAAATCTTGTCAGAATCCCATGTCAAGCAATTACTACCTCATATCATATATTTTTTGCAGTGCAGTGCTGTGAGAGAGGAATCTGATTCTACAGAAAGACAGGCTGTAGATCCAGGACTCAGGCTGTAGAACAAGGACCGAGACGGACTGAGGCAGCTCCCAGGCGGGGAGGGGGATGCAGCCCGCGAGTCCGAACAGGCGCAGACAGTCCATCGGTGCAGATTCAGGGCTCCCATTATCTCACCGTCAAACAGACAATAATGCAGAAATCGTGCATAAATCTGGAGGTGAGCCCCTGGGTGCTCTATCAGGAGCAGTGGTCCCCATAGTAGAGGCCCTAGTGGCATCAGGATGGGTCAAACAAAAAATAAATTGCCATACAGGGATAAAAAAAGTGCACCTTTACCTTTAAATCCATCTATATAGGTAGGTAGGTATTCTGATGAAAACATTTAATCCTGGATTCTCAGTAATGGCAGCGTGGGGGGACTCTGCATTACAGGAAGCGGAAAAACATGCTTTACGACAATAATTATCCAAAAGAACGATTCATTTCAATCCCAGAATAAAACGGTATAATAGACATCATTGGAATCACAGGTAGCACACACACACGGAGCCACTTTTCGCCCTCAAAAGCCAGAGCAGTGTGATTGTTGTTTGAATGCGGGTAATTTTGATTCATGCAGATAACCTTTGCGCTGTACAGAACTTTCCACTGTGAGAAGAAGTGCTCTCAGAAGATGTCAGAGCAGCTTGAATAATGTGGTACAGTGTTACAATTAAATCAAATGTGTGGTGTGCTGCAGGCAGGAACACAGCAGCAGAAACATGCAGGAGACTGATGTCAACTTTGATCCTTTCTGACAGTCTCTGTGTCTTTCTCGCCAATTGTTCTTGAACGACTTTCACCTGAATCCTTAATTATCCTGTATATCAATTTCTCCACGTACCTTAAAGTTGGATTTAAGTTTGGGTGTAAAAGAGTTATTAGTGATCATGTCTTGTTTGTCGTATAATGACTCAGGCTGGGTATCTGTGAGCCCCGTTTCCACCAGACCCGTTTTGGGAGCGAGGTCCTTTTTTCGCCCATGTGCTATATGCTCGGTTCAAAATGACCTGCCACAGTGAAAAAGTAGAAGAAAAATACCCCAAATTAGCGTCTAAATGAACGAGGGCTGGTCAAGATAGGAAAAGTCATAAAATTTCAACTGAAAAACAAAAAATATTTAAGGTATTTTTTTAAACACTGTGTCGAGGAGGATAGCAGAAGGGTACCAGGTGCTATTTTAGTACCTACTAGGCCCTGGTTCTGTCCAGGCTGAGCTGGTACTAAAGTGTTCTAACTGACAGGGGTTGGCCAGAGTGCTGCTGGAAGCCATGGTTACCCAGGAAATTCCGCGGAATACTGGTTTGTTGTGGGAAGTAGAGTAGAGTAGAGTAGGGTAGGGCAGGGTAGAGTAGAGTAGAGTAGAGTAGGGTAGAGTAGGGTAGGGTACGGTAGAGTAGAGTAGAGTAGGGTAGAGTAGGGTAGGGTAAAGTATAGGGTAGGGTACGGTAGAGTAGAGTAGAGTAGGGTAGGGTATGGCAGGGTAGAGTACGGTAAGGCTGGTGGAAACAGGACTTTTCAGAGCCTGCGAATTGATACAGGGAAGTTTCAATTCGATACAATCTTTCAACAATTCAATTCGGTTCAGTAACAAAGTATTATCTAACAACACGCATATGAACAAAAATAAAACAATCATGAGGCATTGTAATTTCATTTTTTGAGGTTTAATTGTTATTCAAGTTAAACTATTATGTCCCAAGAATCTCCAAAATGATATTACCAAATACATAATCTATAATGTATTTCAATATCAATATTTATCTAAACATTTATGTGATGCTCTGGATGTTTATGAAAGTAGACATACAGTATGTTTTGTGTACCGAGCAAAGCAAGGATCTGCAGAGGGCCCCCAGGCTGCAGAGGGCCCCCAGGTCAATCATTGGGATACAAAAACGTTCCCACAAACTTCTTTTTACTCAGAAACCTGTGCTGTTTATGGGTTTGTTAAACGGTAAAACAACAGATATATGTGTACACTGCAAAAAACTATGCGAAATAAGTCAAAAAACTAATTTACCAAAAACTTAATTTGTGTTTTGTATCTTAATTTGAGCAAATGTTGACTGCCTTCACCTTTGAATGGTTTCCTCAACTATTTCAGATCACCTTTTGAGTGAATATATCTACTTTAAGTTTGCTTGGAACTGAAATGTTCCTCTTTGGGGCATCTCAATTGGTTTTTGTCACTTTTACCATCAGAATGCATCTCAACCATTTGATAAAGGCCTATAATAAAAATTAAGGTAATAACAAAATAAACCCGTTATTTGCGTTATTAGTACTCCTACTTCTTAGAAAATATAAAAAAGAAAAAAATACACTGCTTTCTTCAAGGAGTGAATGTTTACGTAAATACTATACATAAGTTTAATTACTTTGTCCCGTCGGCAAATCTTGTTCTAAGTCAGTCAGAATGTGCTCAAACTAAGATCAAAACTTAAGCATGTTATACCTCATGTTTTATCATTTTTTGCAGTGTGCATGTAGATCCAGGTCCATTGTTCCCGTGTTTTTTGTTCCAAAGCCTTTATATTCACACAGTTACAAAGTTAGCGGTTGTTTCTGTATAAGGACAGTGCCCCAGACTGTGTGGAGGTAAGATGGATTTTTTTACAAAACAATTTTTTTGGCAAATTGACCTTGTTTTCTCTTGTTATTGACCAGGCTGAGACAAGGAAAAGTATTAATGGCAACTCATGGATTATAAGCTGTTAACTACATTTCTTTAAATATCTACGTAGACTTGAGAGGTTTTATGACGACTGCAGAATTATTTGAAATTGTGTTTGAAAAGTCTCTGTTTTGAAAAGTCTGTTTAATCCCATGTGTGACGTCTCTGTGGAGCTTCTCTTGTTTTGCTGTGTTTTGGTCAGATGTATATATAAAAAAAAAAACCATGTTCATAGACATTTCTAAACAAAACATCCAAGAAAATAACCGATGAATTGAGAGAATAATTGGTTAACAACGTTCTCAAATTGATTGTTAATTCCAGCCCTGATGCATTCTCTCTCGCTTTGAAGCTGCCATTGTTCCAATATCTATCAATCTGATTTCACACTGCAAAAAATGAAAACATATAAGCTAATAATTGCCTAAATTAAGTGGTTTTTGTGTTATTTTAAATGTTATTCAGATAATTTTGCTTGTCCCATTGGCAAATCTGGCAAGTCAGAATGTGGCAAGTCAGAATGTGTTCAAATTAAGATGTATTTTGCCAAGTTTGAGCAATTTTTGACAAATGATAAACGAAAGCATCTAGAAAATCAATAGAAGGAACGAAGCAAATATGAAATAATAACATATAAGATTTACACTGACAATTTTTTATTTGATGTAATTCTTTTTTTGATTGATAATGAATTATATTATAAAAATTATTCTAAGATAAGGTGGATTTTTTTTTTTTTTTTTTCCCAATAGGATAATTATATTTAAAAAGGGTTGTGCAATTTCGTTCAAACAGACAATAATAATTCTGGGAGTCATTTCAAATACATTTTTTGTTAACTTTTACCAACACTGTACATGTCTGTTCTTTGGCTGTTCGTTTCTTTGA